TCAGGCGATTTTGCTTTAATCATTTTGGAAAGAATGTTTCTTGTCTGTGCTTAAACGGCGTACATATTCTTTACAAACTAGGTTATAAAAGCTTCTCTTCAAAAAGAAACATTTCAATGTCTTATTTGCCCTCCAGGCTCTTGATTTCATATTTTCATTGTTTGCCTTGTATGTACATGCCAATTTCATTCACAGGGGGAGAAATATAAAAATACATCTAAAAATTGGCTACCTTCTAAGTAAACACTCCCTTATTAGAGCAAAATGTAAATAATGACTTGACTTAGGGAGTCAGAAGCAGAGAGCTTCAGAGTGGGAGAACCTGGAAAGTCTTCACCTCTGTGAGCCTCACTCTTTTCAGTGCTAAAGTGCTGTTGATAATTGTAGAATGTACCCCTTAGGGCTTCGTGAGGGTTAGATGACATAATGTACCTAAGTGCTTAATACTTGGCACCAAGATAACTTAATGAATGATGCCAGTGAGAATGAAGGAGAAAATATGGTGTTAGATATCCAGTGCAATTTCTTGACCTTTTCAGAAGAACTTTGTTAATAAGTCTTCATGAATTTGCGATACATACACACACATACAAGCGTATTTCATAAATTCAAGGAAAATAGTATTAAAAGAAGCTTATTTTGATGGAACAGACCCTGTAATACACATATAACTTCTTCATAATATGCATTTTCCATTAACATTTTAAAGACCTTTTTTAGGCATTAATTCCAGTTTTTTTGGCATCAAAATGACTTTTTATTGTTTATATTCTTTTTGAAGTATCTGTATACACACATATAAACATATATACAGCTGTTAAAAAGCTTTTGGCTTTAAAAAAAAAAAAACCACTGGGACGTTGGGCCCTGTGTGATAGCCTAGTGGCTAAATCCTCAGCTAGTGGCTAAATGCCAGGATCCCATGTGGGTGTAAGTTCATATCCTGGCTGTTCCGCTTCCCATCCAGCTGCCTGCTTGTGGCCTGGGAAAGCAGTAGCAAATGACCCAAAGCTTTGGGACCCTGCACCCACGTGGGAAACCAAGAAGAGGCTCCTGGCTTCAGATTGGCTTAGCTCTAGCTATTGTGGCCACTTGGGGAGTGAACCAGCAGATGGAAGATCTTTCCCTGTCTCTCCTTCTCTCTGTAAATCTGCCTTTCCAGTAAAAAATAAATTAATAAAGAGAATTTTAAAAAATGGGATGTTACTATGAGTACAGGAAGAAGTTGAATGATTAAATGACCATTTCTGCTGTGACTATTGAAGTTGAAATTGTCCCAGGGAGGCTGTCCTCCGGCAGCAGCACTGGAAATACAGGACAGCCTAACAAGAGGAGCGGGAGAGGATCCCCACTTGAACTCTCATTTTTTAAATGTTATAAAAAGTCCTTTTTATATTTCTGCATCTTGTGAATGACAAATGAATCTCTGTTAGGCTTTGAAAGAAAGGTTGGTAACACTCTTAAGCAGCTTCATCTTGCTTTGAGTTTGCTGTGAAGCACACGTGTTTTTAAATATACACGTTTGCTGCAGTCTGTCTTGAAGTCTTAAAGTGCTTTATAATAATCATTCTCTCTCTTTTGTTTAAATAATCTCTCTTAACAAATAGGAAAGAGTCAGGTTACTAAGTCCACATATTCAAATGAGGATCTGGTTTCCAGCATGAATCTCATTCTTTTGTTGTTTCAGTGTGAAGATCATTTTGTAAAATGGCTGCCTTTGGCTTTCATCTTGTTGCTACAGGTGTATGACACGTTTATGACGGGTGGGGGGAGGGTATCAGGAGAAGCGTATTCTTGGATACGGTTTGATCTACATTATTAAACTCATTTAGTGTTTGTTGAATTTAAAAGATGTTGGCTTAACATTAATTACATTTCATGCTTTGGATTATGAGCACCTGGATATTACTGTTTGTTTGAATATTTGCTATTGAATTATTTAAATATATTTTAGAATATTCCAGGGATGTGTGTGTATGTGTGTGTGTGTGTGTGTGTGTGTGTGTGTGTGTTTATTTGTGATCATTTTGCCTTGGATTTCACTTGAGAGCATTATTTTATAGAAGATGATGTGTCTTTCATGGGTTTGTTTCCAGTAGAAGTGTTTTCTTTTTACTGTTGTTGAGACAAAAGTGAATAGGATTGTGGTGCCAAATGACGTGTATGGAGTGAATAAAACCCACAGCTTGGTATACATGAAAACATCTTTATTAACAAATAATTTAGCCCAGTGTTGAGCCTAAAGTAGAGGTTCAGAGAACACGAACAGCTTGATTGATCTGGCAAGTAATCATCTGGTTTATAAGCCTCTGGTCTTAACAATATTAAGGATTTCAATGTGATATTGAAGGCCGCTGGGGATTTTTTTTTTTAAATGCAATCAACTTATTGTATTCCAGCTTTACTTTAATTTCTAAATTGATTTAAAGTAAACAGTATGGGTCTGAAGTCTGTTTGAAGCAGCAGGAGGTGAGTTGGTAATTACTGTTCATAGTGGAGTGACTTGGAACAGTGGCTGTTTTAATTGGAGGTCAAATAGCTGTCAAAAAAATGACAGTGCAAGATCAGTTCTCGTAGTTCCCTTTTTGGATTGTGGAAAAGGTACTTATTAAAGCTTATTGGCTGAGGCTGTTTTTTGTTTTTTGTTTTTTGTTTTTTTTTTAGATTATCTGAAGGGTGTTAAAATGTCTGATTCCAAACTAAGGGAATGGTTTGTTGATTCTGACAACTTCACCTAATTTAACTTTTCTGCGTAATAAATTGATATGTAACTGTTCAGAAATTCAAAGCAAAGCAAAACATTTTGTAAGTGTTCCCAAGACATACCACAGGTATTTCCTTAAGATGAATACAGACTTTTTTCCCTACTGGAAAAACTGAGTTCTGGCTGCCTAGACAAGTTTGTATAGATTTAGCAAGCAAAACAGTAGGCTTCAATATTTTTAAATAGTTCACTGCTTTTACTTCCTTGACAAGCATGTTGTGAAGATTAATTATAGAAATGAAAGGTGCTGGTGTAATAGCACAGTCGCATTTGAAAACCACAGTATATGTAATAGAGCCTTTTAAATGGGCTCTCTGTGCATGCAAGGCTGCTTCAATACATCTGTAGAAAAACAGAATTTAAAAAGAGGCATTTATTTTGGTTTCAAATTTTTTTTGAAAGCCATGTGTAGTTTTTTCCCCCCCATAATACATATTTTTCATGAACTTTTAGAAGACCTCCCCATTAGGGAAGTGTGGATAGCTTTCTGAGTTTAGGGAATATTTATACATAAATAACACTGCCCATATTCTTGCTGTTGCTCAAATATCATCTGTCTTTTAGAGTTAATATCTGTAATATGCTAGAGCTGTGATTACTCTAAGAAACCTAATGCCATTTGTGTCAGGAATATTTCACTGCTTTTCCATGTTAGAGAAAGCAAATGCAGCTTGAGAAAGAGTGGTGATTAATGGTATACTAATGTGGTATGTGCTTGCATATGGCATTTTGATGTTATGTTGGGGAATATTTTTGGTATGCTTTGGATAGGCAGATGGGATTTTTAAGTACATAAACTGTAAATCAGTCCTTTTAATTAAATCATTTAACTTTTCATGAAAGAAGAAACAGTACTAGATTTTTACATACAGAATAAAAGCAGTCATTTTTAAAGTTCACTTTTTTTTTAATAAAAAGCATTTATATTTATTTGCAATGCAGAGCAACAGAAAAGTAGGGACAGAGAAATATCTTGCATCTACCAGTTCACTTCCCAAATGCTTATAATAGCTACCGCTGGGCCAGGCTGAAGCCAGGAGCCTAAATCTTGTTCTGGGTTTCCCATGTGGGTGGTAGAGATTCAAGTACATGTGCCATCATGTCCTCTCTCCCAGGATGCACATTAGCAGGAAGCTGGAACGCAAGCCGAGTAGCTGGGACTGCGTCCCAGAGACCCCTTACATGGGCTGTGAGTCCCAAGCAGTGGTTTGAAGTGCTAAGCCAGAATGGCTGCCCTAATCAACAGTCTTTTAACATTCCTTCTTTGGCTGGTTAATAGTTTATAGGTAGGTGCCACCCTAGATTCTTATTCCCTGGGTACCTCAAGGAAATCAAAGGATTGACTGGAAAATTACAGAAAGATCTAGGGATTAATCTTGGAAATTAGACTATATATGCTTGGAAGTGATAGGAAAAATAGAGAATATACTATATCATAAATTCATAAAGGATTAGAGATGAAGTAGATGGATTACTTGTCTTGATAATATGGAGGGAAGACTGGGAGACCCTGAAAACTTTACTTTGCTTTTTAAATGCTAGAAATTTATTTTAAAATGATATTTGGAAGGCAGAGAGACAGACATAACATCTCTCCCATCTGTTCCTATGACAGCTTGGGTCTGGGCCAGACCAAAGCCAAGAGCCAGGAACTTAGTCCAGATCTCCCACATGGGTGGCAGGAGCCCAACTATCACCTGCTACCTCCTAGGCTGGACATCAGCAGGAAACTGGAATCAGGAATGGAGCTGGAACTGGAACTGGAACCATAGGTGCTCCGGGATGGAACGCCCCAAAATAGTGTGTTAACCACTGGGTCACATGTCCACCTTGACAGCCCAAATTATAATTTTTTTTTTTTTACCACAAAGTTTCCTCTCCACTTGAACTGCAAACTTGCTGCCACCTTTCAGGGGAAATTTATTCATCTTCTAATTGAATTATATGTACTCAGATACCTCAGTGGGGGTTGGGGGAGAGCTGAATGCTCTTCTCAATTCCTATCTGTAATATTGGTAAGAAACAAAAATTTCTGGTAATATTGATCAATTTAGCCCACTTAAATCCTTAAATTTCATTTTAAAACAAAGCTTATTTCAGCAATAGCCTGTACATATATGCATTTACACTTTGGGTATGCAGTAGGTGTTACTATTAGTGTTACCATATACATTAAACAACATTTACCTTAAAGTTTTAATCTTACTAAAACTATACCTTTTTTTTTTTTTTTTAGAACAGCCAGTAGAGGGGACTTCATGTTTTCTGCAGATCGCTTGGTAGGTGGAGGCTTTCCATTTTCATTTCACCATTGCTCCTACAAATGATGTAATCCTACCAGGGGGCTTCATTTTTTGAGAGCATTCTGGGGGTGTTGAGAGACAGTACTAAATTATAATTATGTTGCTAGGCTTCTGGAATTGTTCTTTGTACTGTTATGTTAAAGCTCTGTCTCAGTCCTTTTGACCTCACAGCATTACCCATGAATTCATTCCCTCCAGCTCTGAGGTCCTATGATCTTACAAATAAATCTTGATAATCTGGCACTCTGAAACTAAATGCATCATTTTAGGTCAGTGAAATGAAGTACATTAAATGAAAAGGATGTAAGTAGAATTAGGAGTTACCCTTGTGATACTCTCAGTTAAAAGGCAAAACTAATATGTTTCTTGTAGCATATGGAGTGGGTGGGGTATTTTGCCTCTTCTCTATCCTCACAAGTGAATACTAAGCTGGTCTCCCTACACTTTCCTCAAGGAGTTCCAATTAAAGACTGACTAAACCAAATTCTGTTTAGCTAGTGTGATCTGAGATGTCATACCAATTTGGTTTGCCATCAGAGTGAGTGCTGCAATTGTGTCTTGTGTTTTTATTTTAAGTGTGCACAGTGCTCGGAATGGGGTTGACACATTGTCTGCTGTGGTTATTGTTAGTCTTCATCCATTCATGAAGCATATAGTAAACTCCTGTGCATCAGCCACTGTTCTAGGCTCTGCTGGGAGAAAGAAGATACAACAGCAGGGAATATACACATGGATCCTGAACTCATGGAGTTTTCAATATGAATGCTATTGTTAGTACTGGGTTTTGAAAAGAAAGAATTGAGGGTATGACACAATGGTTCAGTTGGCTAATCCTTCACTTCCAAGCACTGGGATCCCATATGGGTTCCTGCTCCTGTTCCTGCTGCTCCATTTCCTGTCTAACTCCCTGCTTGTGGCTTAGGAAGGTGGCAGAGGATGACCTAACTCCTTGGGACCCTACGTTCACGTCAGAGACCCAGAAAAAGCTTCTGGCTATTGGCTTCAGATCAGCTCAGCTCCAGCCATTGTGACCATTTGTGGAGTGAACCAGCAGATGGAGGATTTCTCTGTCTCTCTTTCTCTCTGAAAATCTGCCTTTCCAACAAAAATAAATACATCTTAGAAAAAAAAAAGAATTGTGGTTTATTAAACCTCACAATTATAATCAAATGATAGAAGGTAGATTATTAAAGGGAATCTGAGGAACTCCACCCCCCCCCGCAAAAAAAAAAAAAAACATGAAACTTTTCATTTAGATTTTCCCTGGGGAATTTATTCCAGAAGCATGTAGTCAACTCCTGTTCTGCTTTTGGCTTTAAAATTCTTAGTTCAGAGAAAATTCTATTTAAAAATTATTTGAGCTTTCAGGGGGCAGTGAAGGCACCAAGATAAATGTGGTTGACATTTTGTGGGCTACAGTTAGGTCATTCTGTCTTTTATGCTTTTATCAAACCAAAAGAACAGGTTGGAAGCAGAAGGAACTTTTGTCTTAATGGCTTGCTGTGGAGAGTACAAGGGTCTCGGTGTTCTCTCATAGAAAAGTGTTCTTCCTTTCTTTCACTTTCTTGTGCTTTTTACTTCTACAGAAAATAAGCATTAAGTCTGTGGTTATTGAAAAATGCTTCCCTAAAGGGCAGGCATTATATGAAAGGTCTTCAAAAAAATTTGTGGAAAGTGCACCGAATGACAAAAAAAAAAAAAATCTTTGCATGAAAAAAAAATATTTGCATGAATTTCAAAAACTTTTGCATCAAAATATGTATCTTTTAACTCTATTTTTCATAAATTTTTGGTATCTTATACCTTAGCCAATTGAAATAATAAGAAACTTGAGTATGATTCACCTGACAGGATGGTCATTTGGACTGCTCTGTTTTTTACAGTTGGCTCTTTGAAGGTCCTGAGGTGTGCTAAGAGATGGCATGTTGTGGTTGTGGAAGGAACTAGAACATTTAGGTCTATTGTTGAGGATTTCTAGTATACTGTCTCCTAGTACAAGGTTCCCGACATAGAGAGAAGGAATTCTGTCCTAAATTTGCCAGGGTTCATTTCTCTGATCCTCAGATTTTTTTGCTATATTGGTCACTGCTGTGAATTTCTACTCTCCTGTAAGAATTGGATACACTAATTTCTGTGCTAGGGTTGCAGATGATAGGCCAGGCGATAAGACTCTTTAAAGGAAGCTTACTAAGAGGAGGAGATTCAGGCCCTTTAAAGAAAAGATTCCTCTTCAGTCCTTGGAATTTGTTCATAAAGAGCATAAATGCCCATGGCAAGCAGTGACTGGAGGTGAGTGTGCACGTGCACGCAGTATTCATGTGGTTTCCAGGTCCTCTGTCTGATGCCGCAGGTTGACAAAGTACTGGACCATTTGGAACTGATATTTTAATGGCAGCAGGGTGTTGTGTTATGATAACAAAGCCTGGGACCTGATACTTCTCTCTGCTGTTCCTGATTCTCCATCAGCAATATAGAACTGATTGGAGAAAATGTGCACTACACACGCTACACAGACTTTATGATAGTCAGATGTGGTTGCTCCTCAGGGGAATACTGTATCTGGTTTGTAGAGACTGTTTCCCACAGTGCTTTAGAGAAACTTATCTGACAGAAAGAATGTGCGCAAGCAAATATGAGTGCTCCCCTTTGCTGGTTCACTCTCCAAATTTCCACAATAGCCATGGCTAGGTCAGGCTGAAGTTGCGACCTAGGAGCCCAGTTGGGGTCTCCCATAGGGTCTTCCACGTGGCTTCAGAGAACCAGTGACTTGAGCCAGAAGCTAGAGTTGGATGCCAGAGCCAGGAATCAAATCCAGGCATACCAGTGTGTGGCATGAACCATTTAAGTGGTATTTTTAAGCATTAGGCTAAACACTTAGCCCTGCTCCTGGTTAGTTTTTAGTGATTCTTTCCTCTATATCACATATTGTGATTATTGTGTGCCTTTTCTTTAGTTGAGAAACTGAAATACATTCCCCTGGATCCTCCTTGAGGAAGTTTCAGGCTTTGTTTGCATCATCATGGATCTTTGTTAAAAAGAAAATAAAATAAGAATTTAAAAGGTAATAATCAAGGCAGAAAAATTCCCAGTAAACACTGTTTCTAGATAACCAGAAGTATATTACTACTAAGGAGGCTTGTCATGAGTTTTACTGCTTGCTGGAGTTTTGTTTCAATCATAGCTGGATTGATTATCAAAAAGTATATTATGTTGTAGAGTGCAAGAGAAATGATAGCAGACGCAAGTGGAGGATATCAGGAGGAATCTTAATTGGCCAAGCTTGGCCACAGTAGCTCCCACTGCACTTCAGGAGCCACTGCACTGCATGGTTGAAGTCAGTTTTTTGTTTTGTTTTGTTTTGTTTTGTTTTTAAATGACACAGTTCCATAGGCTCAGGAATTTTCCCTACCCCAGTCCCCAAATACCTTCTCACCACTGATTTCTCCTAGGGGTTTTCATGCTCTCATCCTCCAGTCAGATTGAGAGCCATATAGTACAGAGTTTCCATACATTCAATTAACTAAGTGGCAGGAGGCAGGAAGGAAGCTGCTGGAGCCCAAAGTTTCCCTGTAGTTTCATTAATCTAAAGTAGCGTAGTAGGAGGCAGGAGAGACTGGGTTTGGAATCTTGGGAGCCATTTCCACTCTGTGAGAGGAGATAGGAAGGGCCAGGCAGGGAACCTCCCTTTCCACGCTGTCACCACTGTGAATTAACTAGGCAAGCAGGTGCTAGTATCAACCCACTGCACGCCATCACAATTGAAGCCTTTTGGTGGCAACTATGTGCATGAGGCAGAATATGTAGCAACAAGCAGTATGACATTTGGATATGTCTTTGTCTAACACACGATATGGGCCCCTTTCCACATCCAAAGATAACCTTTGCTTAGTGTGCTGTCCACCTCTGCTTTCTCATTCACCTCATGAGGTTAGCAACCAGCAGAAGAGTCTCACCAGATTGTCAACTTATTCCTCCTTTGACTCTAGATCAGACTTGTTGTGGAAGAGGGACTGAATCAGCTTCCATATAAAGAATGCATGGTGACCACTCCAACAGGTAAATGGGGTTACTCAAAAATTTTCTCATAAAAATTCTGAACCTAGAATGAGGAAGAAAGGAAGAAAAGCAGTGTGAATAAAAATCAATATGTACAATAAGAACTCTAGGCAGAGCTGTTCTTTTAAACTTCTTTAAAAAAAAAAAAACTCAGGCACTAAGTAAAGAAATCTGTGGAGGTGACTTTTTGTTAATGGTTTGCTTGTCAATTCAAATTAAAGGTTAATAAATAGTATTCAGCATGCAGGTGTTACTTCTGATGACAGCCCATTGGGATCAGAGTTAAGAATTGCTGGCAGCTTATCTTCACCTCGGTGGAGAAGCTGCTGGTGTTAACAAATGGGCAAGGCTGGTTTGGCATTGAAACTCCAGGTTGAAAAAAAAAAAAGAATGAATAGCAGAAAAGAAAAATGAGAACTGGAGAAGGTGCTTTGTTCCACTCTGGAATAGAAAGTAGCTAAAGATATCTGTTTCATGGATTTGAAATTCTGATTTTATTCTTTAGTAAGAAATGGGAAACTGTCCTATTTAAAGGGTTGACCTTGTGAAAATTGGGAGCTGAGTTTGGTGCATCTTAATTGACACAAATTCAGAATGAGACTGGAGGTTGAGCAGAGTTTGATAACTATTTCAGCCTTTTTCTTCTGCTTTTAAGACAGAATGGAGACTCATGAAAAGGAATGGAATAAGGAGGCTTTTTGCTGTGGCTCACAGTGGGTTCCTAGTTTGAATTGATGGGGTATACAGCATTCTCGGAGTGCAGTGAGTCTCCTTTGAATTCAATTTGATGAACGTGTGTGTGAATATCATACTATAATAAGTCCTATTCCCATGCAGTGAAGTCTGCCTCTCCCAATTATCCCCACAGGTTCATTATGAAGAATTAAGAAATAACTATGAAAAATCATGACTCAAATCATGACTTACTCAGAAAACCTAAGGTGTTAAACTGTGTGTCTGGACAAGGGTTACTGTCTCCATCTGCTTTAGACCCATGGGTACTTTATGAAACACGAAAGTTGCTCCAATGAAAAAAGATTAATTCTTTGGTTTTATTTCCCAACAGGGTACAAGTATGAAGGAGTGAAATTTGAGAAGGGAAATTGTGGGGTCAGCATAATGAGAAGCGGTAGGTTTGTACATGTGTGAGTTTGTCTCTTTGCATGCATAGAAACTGTAGCTGTTTCCCAGGAGAGAGGCAGCCTTGTCTGTTGTAATTGCAGCCTGCTTAGCTTAAATCTCACCGCCCATGTTGTCTATCCTGATGCCTTGCACTCATAGCCTGTGTGCTGCTAAGTTGGGCTAATTTTAACTACAGAGCAGCTTCCCTGGTAGCCTGCCTCCATAGGCAAGGAAGCTTTCAAAGAGCTTCAACGGAGGGTGCAATGACAGTGTCTTGGGCAGTTTGGTGACTGAAGTAACATGATAGAAATTCAGGCTAGTAGAAGTCTGAATACCTGCCTGGAGAAAATCTGTTTTTGTTTTATTTCTGTTGTAGGAACAGTATTTCCCTTCCAGGAGCTTGACTGAATGGCTCCTTCAATCTTTTTAAATTTATATTTGATGACTATTTGACCATGTAAGCAAAAGCGCTTATATGTCATTAGCTCTAGGTATTTCCATCTGCTGATCTTATGTTTTATTTGTGTTTGAGCCCAACTGATTAGCCTTCTAAGCCAACCTTTGTGCAGCAAAACCACAGGTCTGTCATTAGAACCTATACCATGTACATAGGAATAATTACTTCCATTCAACAAACTTAATTGTTTTTTGTACAAATGAACTTTTTTTTTTTTTTTGCATTAATGGTGGCAGCCACACTCACTTGCACTGGAAACAGATGGAATTTTTTTAAACATATAAATGTTCATTTTTCTTTTCTGGCTATGAATTTTTGTTTGTGAGTAACTGAATACCTCAAGTAAAATAGCTCTAAGCTCCCTTTTTTAATAGAAGATATCCCTTAAACAATATTGCAGTCTCAGGATACTGTCCAACTTTTTAAAAATTGTTAAGACAACTGGCTTTAAATATTTTTGATTGATATGTAATATTTTGAAAGAAAATGTGGTCATATATACACAGTAAAATGCTATTCAGCCATAAAATACATGAAATCCTACAATTTATAACAGCATGGATGTCCCCAGAGGACATTATGTTAGATGAAGTAAGTCAGGCACAGAAAGGCAAATACCACATTATCTCACTCATAAGTGGAATCTAAAAAAGTTCATCTCTTAGGAGGTGAGGATAAAACAGTGCTTATTTGAGATTGGAGCGAGTTGAGTTGGGGGGTTGCTTGGTCAGTGGGTACACTGTTCGATAAAAGAGATGGCTCCCAAGTTCTGGTGTAAACATAGTTAACCATATCTCAAAAAGTTTGGAAGATGGGGTTTGGAATTATTTACCATGAAGAAATTGGTAGCAGTTTGAAGTGATAGAAATGCTAGTTTATCGTGAATTTATCTGGTTCAGTATTCTGTGTTCTGGTTTTTCTGTAGCACAGCAGGGTGAATAAAGTTAATGATAATGCATTATAGATCTCAAAACAATTAAAAGAGGCAAGTGTTAATTTCTTCACCATAAACTATGAAATTTAAGGTGATGGATATGCTAATTACACTGGGCAGGATCACTCCCCAATATACATGAGTCAAAACATCACACAAAATGTTTTCCTAAGTATGTAATCATAGGAATACCATGTCATGATGTACTTTTAATGTACAGTCTGTTCTGTTCAGTGCAGCTTCTTCCCTAAAGGGAAGCACTTTCACATAGTCCCTGCACTTCTAGGTGCTTGCACTGCCAATGACTTGGGGCATTGTGCAGGTAGAATTGTTTTTATCCTTAATGGATGCTTGTTGAATTTTATATACACAAGAAACAGCTTATTTTTGTTTTCACTAATGCTATAAGTTTTTCTCTTTTTAAAAAAGAAAAGATTTGTATAGGGGCTGGTACTATGGTGGATAGTAAACTGACCCTCTGCCTCTGGTGCCAGCCTCTCACATGGCACTGATTCATGTGCAGCTTGCTCCATGTCTGATCCAGCTTCTTGCCTGTGGCTTGGGAAAGCAGTAGAGGATGGCCCAAAGCCTTGGGAGCCAGAGGAAGCTCCGGTCTCCTGGCTTCGGAGCAGCTCAGCTCTGGCCATTGCCACCATTTGGGGAGTGAACCAGCTGATGGAAGATCTCTCTCCTCTATCTCTCTTCCTTTCTCCCCTTCCTCTCTCTTCTTCCTTCTGTAACTCTGCCTTTCAAATAAAAATAAAATAAATCTTTTTTTAAAAATGTTTGTTTAAAAGGCAGAGAGGTGGAGAGATAGATCTTCCATCTGCGAATTCACTCCACAAGTGGCCACAACACCCAGGTCTGGACTAGGACTAAGCCAGGAACCAGGAACTCCATTTGGATCTCTTGCATGAGTGTAAGGGCCCAAGCACTTGGGCCATCCTCCACTCTCCCAGGCACATTAGCAGGGAACTGGTCAGAACTGTATCAGCTGGGACTTGAACTGGCACTTTGATATGGAATGTTGGTATCACAAGTGGCAGTTTAACACCTGCTCCTCTTAAATTTGAATGGTTTTTTTCTATTATATTTTGCTTTATCAAAAAAGTAAAACATTTAAATTGCATGACAGAAATTCAGATGTTGTCTTGTGATCTTTAAATAATGAATGAACGACTTCTCCTTTAAAAAAAGATCTAAGAAAAATGTTAAGTAAATGCCAGTAGTGTTGGTAGAGAATTCTGATTTCACCTTTTTAAAATCTTGAAGTTATGAGAATGAGTTTTGGTGAGCGCTTCCTTAAAGGAATTCAGACTTTAAAATATGTTCAAAAACCAATGAGGTAGCAGTGGTGGTTCTTCGGGGGGAGGGCAAGCAGTGTTCCTTGTTAACAATGACGCCTCTGTTGGGGAGGTCATCACTTAGCTAAGTGGTGTCTCCTGATGCTACAGTCATCTAAAAGATCTTTGATTTATAACCCCTGTTCTGTCATGGATTTTAAAAAACCATCTTTAGGTGAAAATGATCCATTTAGGTGGCTTGATGACTTCTTTAAAATATTTGGAGTACAAATATTGCTAGTATAGGAAAAAGCTCCGGGAACAGTTCAAGAAAACCCTTTGTTTCCTGTTTAATCACAGGAAGCACCACAGCTCTCAAACTTGTAAGCCAGCAACAAACCTAGCTTACCTGGGCTTCGTTTTCCTCATGCTACTGGCCTGCACTAACAAAAGTAGTTTAAAAAAATTGTTTCCCTCTTGTGTCCTTTTTGTATTAATTTTAATAATCATTACTAACTCTGCCTATTCTTGGGCTTTCAATCTGTCTCCCCCCCCAACAATGTTTGTTGTTGTTGTTATTTGTCTCTTTTGTTAAATGTCCTTCCTCAAGGTGAAGCCATGGAGCAAGGTTTACGAGACTGCTGTCGATCCATTCGAATTGGGAAGATCCTGATTCAGAGTGATGAGGAGACACAGAGAGCCAAAGTGTATTATGCCAAGTTCCCCCCAGACATTTACAAGAGAAAAGTCCTTCTGATGTATCCAATTCTTAGTAAGTGGCTTGAGTTCAATTCCTATGCTTTGAATAACAGTTTAAATTTTACTTAATACCTGTCTCCTAGACACCTTATATAAAAAGCAAGAACACTTTGTAAATGTGTTTTTCCTAGTTGGATTTACAGTTGCCTTGAGCAGTTCACTGGGAATTTTATTATGTAATAAGAGAATATGCATTAGTCAAACTTTATTAGCTCCAGAGAGCTTCTGTCTTTAAATGAACACATAGAAACATAAGATCTAATGAGGCAAAATTCATGGAACACAGAAAATACATTGAAACATGTCTCCTTTTCTAGCCTAATGAGTATAGAGTGATTTTCTTAAGGATTTATCCTCTCTGGAGATAATATTTCTTTTCTTCTATTTTGTTCTCTTTCTCAAGCTTACTGAGATCACACATGGCATGGTCTCCTGGGGGAGGTAAGGGAAAATATGCTAAATTTGATATCTCAAATACTAAATGAATGTAGAGCTTGTCATGTATTTGATAACTGAAAAGTATATGTGTCATGTCCATTACTGAAAATAACAGTGATGAGGAACAAACAGTGTCAAATGAAGCTTTGCCCAGTGATGTCTTATGTTAGATTACTATATTGCTCTGACTTCAAAGACACTTAAAAACCATTCTGAAATAAACATTGGAATTGCTAATTCATTTGGCTGTCTTTTGATTTCAGGCACTGGAAATACTGTAATTGAAGCAGTGAAGGTTCTTATAGAACATGGAGTTCAACCCAATGTCATCATCCTGCTCAGTCTGTTCTCCACTCCTCACGGTGAGTTAACATGAGACCATAATAAGCCTGCAGGTGCTCTTGAAGTGGGTAAGTACACGTTATTCTAGCCCCTCATCCCAAGGAAACGGTTATTTGCTCCTGTAGTAAAATCTAAATCTAATTCTGGCAGTTACAACTTGTATTCTGATAGTATTTTTATACAATTCTAAAGTTCAAATTCAGTTGGAGATGCATGAGAATTCTTCAGAAGATCTGTAAAAACTGGAACAGGAAGTTAAGTTTACTTTGGTTGAAATCCATGCATATGAGGAGGCCATCACAAAATTCATAGAAAATGCTCGTTAAGAAAACTATTCAGGGAGTGGCATTGGGGCACAGTGGATTAAGCTCTTGCATATACCACCAGCTTTCCATATGAACTCTGGTTCGAGTCCCAGCAGCTCTACTTGTGATCCAGTTGCCTGTTAATATGCCTGGAAAAGTAGCACAGGATGTCCCAAGTGCTTGGCTTCTTGCCAACCACCTAGGAGACCTGAATGGAGTTGCAACTTCCTGGCTTCCACTTGGCCCCAGAACCAGCTATTGGAAACATTTAGGAAATGAACCAGCAGGTGGAAGTGTGTGTGTGTGTGTGTGTGTGTGTGTGTGTGTGTGTGTGTCTGCTTTAAAAAAAAGTGCACGAATTTCGAAAATATTTTATATGAAAACAAACTTTCCATTCAGTTTTCCATGAGCTTTATGAAGTACCCTCATGTGAACTGAAAATAATTGTACTTGCCTTCCTGGTTACTCTGTTTAGGTAGATTGTTTAGATAGAAGTTTCTGCTTCAAAACAGAAAAAAAAAAAAGACATAAGGGTGAGGAAGCAAAGTGAGTAAAACTGGTGCCTGCAACAGTGTCATCCTATTTAGGCTCACTTTTCTGTGCTGGCTACTTTGCTTCTGATCCAGCTCCCTGCCAATGGTCTGGGAAAAATAGCAGAAGATGGTCCAAAGCCTTGGGCCCCTGCCACCCACATGGGAGACTCAGATGAAGCTCCTGTTTCCTGGTTTTGACTTGGCCCAGCTCTGGCCATTGCAGTCATCTAAAGTGTAAACCAGCAGATGAAAATATCTCTTTCACTCCCTCTCACTCTATAATTCTGCCTTTCAAATAAAGAAAGAAATAAAAACAAAAGACAAAGGAAAAAGTGCCTGCTTCCTCTGGCTCGCGCCTTAGCCTGAGCATTATTTCCAAGCAGCAAGAACTCAAGGTTTCAGTGAGCTCTGCAGTGAACTTTGCAGTGTTCAGTAAACAGAAGTCATTGAAATATTTAGGTTTTTGAGTTATCTGCCTAAAGGGCATGATCAAAGAACTGAAGGAGAAGTGCATAATTTAAGATCCTAACTTTTTTGCTATGCATAAGAGAGTAGATTTTATAACATTAAATTAGTAGTACATGCATGTAAAACTACCTCTTAGGATATTTGTTGCAAAATTATTTAGTGTGGGAAAATTTGAAGCACATAAATAACAATAGGGAAATTGTTGCACAATATAGTTTTCAGAAAGCTCATGAAAAATGTATATGTGAAAAAAAAGCATGCATTTCAAATTTTTTTGTACCTAAATAAACTTGTAATTTCATTCTCCCATGAACTTCCTGAAGTGCTCTTACATATATTTGAAGGTTGTAGTATTATGTAACTGTTAAGCCATATGCTTGAAAATTATGTGGTAAATGGAAATGAGTAGTACAAAGCTAATAGCATTAGAATAACGCACTTATTAGCCAATACAAATCATCGGTATTTTAATTACTAAAATTGTGTGGATTTTGGATTTGTCATCGAACTGAATAAATTTTTCCTCACCTTAAGAAGCTTCTGACATATGCAGTGCTATGCCAATTTTGAATTCAGAATACATACATAATAGTAATAGTGGGTTTTTTTTTTTTTAGCATTTTGGGGATATTTTTCGAATGTTTATATTGAATTTTCATCATAATTGAAAAGAAAAATATGAGAAAACTTCAGAAAGTACATGGAAAATAGAATTAAAACATGGTTTGTTTTGGTGCAAAAAAAATTGAAATCCCATGAATAGTTTTTTCATGCTGGGTGTTTTCCATGAACTCTTTGACATTTCCTCCTATGTGATTTGCCCAGCGGTGGTGTTTCCTCATTTCCATCTCAGCCTACCCTCAAGAAGCTGCACAGTAGCAAGTTGGGAAAGCTGCTTTCAGGAGGCCACCACATTGGGAAGATGGCCTGTTTCATTACATTTTAAAAAAATTACCTACAATTCAGTGTTGGTGTTGAAAAGGGGTGGTTTCCTTGGATACACATTTGTATATAACACAGGTGGGATAGAAGACAGTGAGATAATGCAATAATTATTGAGATTCCCATTTTGAGGAATAGAAAATGTATGTCTTTAGTTCTAATAGTATATGTTAGAATAATAGAATATACTATTCTTTGACATTGTAGTTCAAAATAATTTAAATGTTTATTTTATTTTTTTTCTTTTTTCTTTTTTTTTTAAATTTTATTTTTCATCTACTTGAAAGGTCATAGTAATAGGGAGAGAGAGAAAGAGGGGGAGAAGAAAAGAGGAAGGGAGGGAGAAGGAGATCTTCCATCCACTGATTTATTTACTAAATGCCCATAAATAACAGCTGGGGCTGGGCCAGGCCAAAGGCAGGAACCCGAAACTCCTTCTGAGTCTCACACATAGGTGGCAGAGGTTCCCCAAGCACTGGTGTCCTCATCCATTGCCTTCCAGGATGTGTTGGCAAGAAGCTGGATCAAAAATTGAGGAACCAGGACTGAAACCACTGCTACAATATGTGATGCAGATGTTGCAAGAGGCTTGGGGCTTTTAAAAGGAAAAATTGCTGTAACCAAATAATTGCATTCTTCAAACCTTGGATAGGAAATGATTTGATTCTAAGAATGTATTAATGAGGGGTGTAATATAACTGCTAACAAGGCTTTCAGATATGAGCGAAATTCAAAATTCTGATGGAAATGGCATGATAAAATAACTTTCAGGGGGTCAAAAATATGAAATCCATGCATAGTTTTTCTATAACGTGTGTTTCCCATCAAAGTTTTGATGACCTCTTATGTGAGACATTATATAATGAAGGGATTAGCCAAGTTGGGCTATGTATGCAATGACTGTTCTTTTCTGTCAGTATTATACCTGGTTACAATGAATGATACAAATTCCTAAATTTTGACTTATGTTACCAACCAATCTTATCATAATTTTTCTTTTCTTTTTTAAAGGTGCCAAATCAATCATCCAAGAGTTTCCAGAGATCACAATTTTAACTACTGAAGTACATCCTGTTGCACCTACACATTTTGGACAGAAATATTTTGGGACAGACTGAAGTATTGAAGGAAAATGGCTTTTCTTGTGTAATATTACGGTTCTATTTTTGAGTTCCTACTTGTATTACTTCACTGGAAAAGTGGCAGAGACAACATGTTAAAGATGCCTTTTAATTTTGGGATCAGGTACAGTAAAAAGGAAATATTTGAGGCTTTATTTATTTGATTTGATAATTTCTTGACTGTTCACACCAAATGCAATATGGAAGCAAGCAGAACTCTTACATAAGATGGAAATTCTCATAATATGCCTACGAAAGTTGTGAGCCCTCAGTGAACTTCTGTTCTCTAATGAACCTCTTAGTTTAGAAGTTGCTTGCAGCCACAAAGTAAACCTTTGCATTTGATCTAGTTTGTTCTTAGTTGTAATGCTGTTTCATGTGTGTAGCTGTTGCCACCTTCCTCTGCTCTTTACTTCCCCTAGTACTATACATGTTAATAACTGAGAAAAGAGGGGGAAAAAATAATGCCTCCTAGAATAGTGCATTTTCATTAATAATTTCATTTGATTGGCAGACCTGGGTATATGGTTAACTCTTTGATCATGCCATTTCCCAAGCTGTCTTGTAGGCAGTGCCCTTCCAAGCCATAAGGCAGTGAAGAAGGTAGCGGGTTATTTTCAATAACTGAAATGTAACATAATTGAAAGGCTGAAGCAGGGGTGTCTGCTGACAAGCCAGAGCTCAGCACTGTCAATGCCATCAGTTCTTCAGAAAGGAGTTGCTGGTAATTTTTCTTGACATGTTTGGGAAATGGAGGGTGTTTCTTCCTGGATTTCATGGCCAATAAATAAAGTAATTAAAATTTTAATTCATTTTTATTTGTCTTTTTATTTCAGTAATTTAGATATATATATACATATGTAAGCAAATTATTTTTCATGATACAGTTCCTTAGGCTCAGGGATTTCCCCTTCCACCTTCCTTCATCCTCTCCCCCTACTGCTTTCTCTTATGCTGTAATATTAGTTCAGTCCCTCAACAACAGTCACAAGTCCATCATTCTGTTATCCAAGTGTATTCTGACATTGTAGTTATAGAGCATGGCGCAAGTCCAGCATTTGATTGTCAAGATAATGTAACAGATTCATTGGGAGCTCATCTTTTATTGAAAAGTAGAGATGCATACTACAATGTATCTCCACTTCATGGTATACTTGCCTACATAATACAGATCTTCTAGATAAATATATGCATATATGCTTGCATATATTAATTCATTTTAACTTTGAACATTTTTACTAGGGACTTTGGACATGGAAATTATATTGCGTGTTTATTAAATGCAGTTGTATTAAAATGGGAAAAGAAAAACCTCATCCGTACTCTTTAAAAAAATCTCTGGGCCTGGCGCGTGGCGCAGTGGTTAAGGTCCTCACCTTGCACGCCTGAGATCCCCTATGGGCACCGGTTCTAATCCCGGCAGCCCCACTTCCCATCCAGCTCCCTGCCTGTGGCCCGGGAAAGCAGTCAAGGACGGCCCAAAGCTTTGGGACCCTGCACCTGTGTGGGAGACCCGGAAGAGGCTCCTGGCTTCAGATTGGCATAGTATCGGCCGTTGCGCTCACTTGGGGAGTGAAACATCGGAGGGAAGATCTTCCTCTCTGTCTCTCCTCTCTGTATATCTGCCTTTCCAATAAAAATAAAATAAATCTTAAAAAAAAATCTCTAAGTCTTACTTATCTGTTCATATTTAGGCTTCTGGAAGGGAAACTATTTTTGAAAAATCCATGTGTTCTGAAATCTGCATGTAAAACTCTGGCCTAATTTTGTGATGATATTAAAACGTTTTAACAGTGGTGGCTGGCTGATTACTTGATTAGTTACACTCTTAGAGGCCTGTATGCAGCTGTTGTGGACCTCTGTTCAAAAAGTACAGAAAAGGGCAGAAGGAAGTGTCTTAGAAAGAACTAAAGCTGACCAAAGTTGACAAAGATTGGGGAAGAGAAAAGCAACTGGAACAGTATGGGTTATATTTTATCCTGCAGGTAGACTGCTATAGAACCTTACTGTAACTCTCTCCCTTTATTTTTAAGAACCATTATAGATAAATCACCCATATTGCAGTCCTTCCTTGGAAAGTGTTCTTTCAAATTATTACTGAAATCCTTACCTATATCTGTCACTTCTGATTTTGATACAATGTGGATCTTGTTTACTCCGGATTAGCAGAAGCTGTGATTGAAACCTATTAAAAGCCAAAATCATTATCTCCCTGTCCTTGGAAAGCCAGCGAATTTAGATAGAGAACAAATTTGCTTGAGATTATGGCATTAAATTAGTTGGAAAGATGATGCCTACTATTGGGGAGTTAATGTTTCTGAATTAGTGCATTTGTTAGGGCTTCAATATTTTTATTGAAATGACTTTATTACAGAGCATTAGATAAATTAATATTTGAGAGTAGGAAAACTGTATTTCAGGAAAAGTATTTTTATATGAACATCCCTTTGGATTTAACATGCTTCTGCTCCTTTGCATCAGTGATCATGATTTCAAGTTGACTGGTTTCCACAAAATGCCTGGCGTGAACAGTGAGAATTATTCAAGGGGATCATATTCCCCCCTGATGTTTGTCCTCTACCGCTGGCAGATTTCAAGAAAAATTGTAACCATGGCTTCTAAAATTTGGCCCTTTTAAACAAATGAGACATGACTTGTAGGGTGAACCTCTTTGCAAGATTTCATGGACCTGGGACGTTTTCTAAAATCTAAAGTTTACACAAGATGAACAGATTATTTAAAACAAGATTCTTTTTAATGAAATTAAACTCCTATTGAAGGCAAAAAAAAAAAAAAACCACAACACCTCTGGTACAATAAAAATGACAAGTAGAATACAGCAGTGCTTTTTAAAATTTGAATGTTGGGGCCAATGTTGTGGTGTACAAGGTTGAGCTGCTTCTTGTGACTTGTACTTCTTTTTTTTTTTTTTATTGTTGTTAACATTGTATTATGTGATACAGTTTTATAGGCACTGGGGATTCCCCCCACCCCTCCCATACCCCTCCCCCCATGATGCATAACCACAGTTCAAGTTCAGTTGAGATTCGTTCCTTGCAAACACATATCTAGCATAAAGTCCAGCGACTTGTACTTCTTATGTGAGTATGGGTTAGGGTCCCTGCTGCTCTGCTTTTGACCAGTTTCTTGTGAATGTTGAGGGAAAGCAGCAGAAGATGGTCCAAATACGTGGGACTTTGCCACCCACAAGGAAGATCCAAATGGAGTCCAAACTCCTGGTTTTCTATCTGCTTGCTTGAGCCATTATTGGGAGAGGAGTGTTGAAATCCAAGACTAACATTTTAGACTTTCCCATTTATCCTTTTAAATTTATTAATATTGGCTTCATCTATTTTGAAACTCTGCTGGGCACAAAAATTAAGATTATTATTTTCTCTTGATGATTTGACCCTTCATCATTATGAAACATCCCTCTTTATACCTGCTAATATTGCTTGTTCTGAAATCTACTTTGGCTGATGTTAAAATAAATATTGTAGCTTTCTTTGGAATAATATTAATGTAGCATATTGCTTTCCATCCTTTTAATTTAATGTGATTGCTGCTTATTGTTTTTAAACAAATATTTGAGAAATAGAATTCTCAATTGATGGTTCATTTCCAAAATGCCCAAAGCCAAGTGCTGATGACTCGGTCCAAGCCTCCCATATGAATGACAACCCAATTACTTAAACTGTCATTGCTGCCTCCTAGGATCCTCATTAGCAGAAAGGTTCAGTTAGGAACTATAGCTGACAGCTGAAATCAGGTCCTCTGATGTGGGACATGGGCATCTTAACTACTAGACCAAATGCCAATGATTGGTTTTAAATCTCCCATCTTGGTATTTATTTGCCTATTTGTTCTATATTTACTTTTTCCTCATTTTATACCCTTTGGGTTAGTTGAGTATTAATCGTGATTCCATTTTTTCTCTTTTGATTTGTTATTAGTTTTATTTTTAAAGTTTTTTTCTTTTTCCATTTTTTTATTATATTTTTGACAATCTTTACATAGTTAATTAGGGTAAAAAGGGTCAAGGGCTACAGGAAAGTGGGTAAGACTATTATGTCCACATTGTTTCCTTCATGTATCTGAGGTAAAGGAGAATTTTAAGGGAGAAGTCCTACCCAGTCTCCCACCCATCCCAGGATCCTGATGTGGGGCATGCTCCGCAGGTCTTTCTCAAGTGGTTTTGATAGTTCAACAGTTATGAATTGCTGCCAATCTCGTCATTCTAAGCACTATGAGGTCTTTGAAGAATCCACTGACTGACATAGTCCATCATAGAGTCTCTGTTTGCCCAGTATTTCACTGCCAACATATAGCTGAGGTGGTTGATTGACTTGTTCTGTCCTCTATCTTCATGGTTAGGGTTCTGAGTCCAGCAGTTTTTTTGGGGGGGAGATCCCAAAAGAAACTTTGAGGTATTCCCAGACCAGATTCTTGTATGTATTAGCAAGTACAGGGCTCGGCACAGTCCATCACTCCAATCAGCTGGTGTTTGCAATTGCTGGGTCAGTTCTGTTTCCAGCCCTGTCTTCCATGTGAACCAATGGATGTTGCAATCCAGCCTGGTTCTGGCTAGCACACATTCGGCCCTCACATAAACCAGGGAGAGCTGAAGCCTAGTCGGAGCGACCCACAATAACCCCCACCAGGCCCACCCCCTATCCTGTTTTGCTAGTATGTGCAGCCAACTAGTCCAGTCTGTCCCACATCCCATTCAGCTCTCATACATGTCAATGGACATTGAAGCCTAGTTCAACCCAACGAGCCCGACTATTCAGCCCACATGATTTGTTATTAGTTTTAATGCTTTATTTTTGTAATCCTTTAGGGGTTATAGTATACATCTTCAACTTATCATAGTCGACTTCATGGAGAACTTTAACAATGTGTTTCCATTACCCACTCCTCATCCTGCCTTTCCAGCCTTTGTGCTATCATTGCTATGTATTTTATTACTCTACATACTAAACTTCACAGTATACTTTTTGTTATTTTTTTGCTCACTTTAATTTCCCCACATAAGGGGGTTTTTCTATGGCACAGTAGGTTAAGCTGCTACCATGATACTAGCAACCCATAGGAATGCCACTTCAAATTCCACTGTTCTACTTCTGATCCAGCGCCGTGCTAATGTGCCTGGGAAAGCAGAAGAAGATGGACCAAGTGTTTGGGTCCCAGTGACCCCACAGGGGAGACTCACACACAGTTCCAGGCTCCTGACTTCAACCTGCCCCATCCCTGGCTGTTACAGCTATTTTGGGGAGTGAAAGATCAATCTCAGTCTGTCTCCGTCTCTCCGCTCCCTGTTCCTCTCCTTCTCTCTGTAACTCTGCCATAACAAATGAATCTTTAAAATAATTAATCCATCTCATCCGCAGCATCTGGAGTTTAAGAATAGTGTAGAATCCTAGTAGAGTTAAGTGATGGCTACATCTAATGTTCATACTAATGATCAGCAGACAGAATTCTGGACAGGAATGGCAGTCTAATTGTACCTTGGTCTGAGAAACAAAGAAATAATTTAGAAAAATCTTGGCTTGAGTCAGGTCCTTTTCTACATAGTTCAAAGTGAGAATGGATTTAATTGCCATTTAACCAACCTTTCCTTTGCCCATGGAAGAGAACAACCTAGTGCTTAACCTGATCTCGGTTGAGAGATTGTCTCAAAAATCCAGTCAGGACTACGCTAGTGTAAGATGGAGTCTACATTCGTCTTTGTTGTTGTAACCAAGCAAAGCACACTGGTGGCACGGACAGTGATACAGTGATAGAGGGTTTTGAATACCTATCGGTTTG